GAGAGGAAAAAAAGAAAAAAAAAAGAGTTTTGTCAATGTTTCTTGCACACTGGGACCCATTGTTTTTTTGCCTGGGGGGCCACGGGGTGTTGCTGAGTCATCATCACTACCAGTAACCAGAGCCCCTTTTGCCCTGTCCTGTGAATCTCTAGACCGCCATCTCTGTGTTTTAATCGCATCCTCACCTGTCCGTATATTGGCTTCATGACCTGTTATCGCTACACTGCTTAAGTAGAGCAGATAATCATTTAATTTTCTCTTTGTACTGTATTATCTTGCTTCATTTCTCCTCAGTGGCAGCATTGGTGTGTTTAAAGGGGTAGCACGCACTTTTAATAGATTTCTCCCACGCCGTAGAGAGCGTCACAGTGGGAACCGGTTTAATTGTGGTTTCATGGACCTTTTTCCCATGTGGTGATGTCACTGTGTCAAAGCTGAGCCCCCAGGGAGCCTGTACTTCCAACGAAGGCCTCCCCATCACTCCCGTTCATATTTTTCTGTTCTCTCTAGACCCTCTTTTAACTGTGCTCTCTTCATCTTTGGCATTCATCTTTTCTAATTTAGTTCAAGCTCTGCACTTCCCTAGAGTATGCCCATCCTCTACTCTCTGGGTTTATCTATCTCATCTTACTTGCTCTCAAATCAGCAAGATGATGTTATCCGGCTTCCTGAAATCTTGAGTTGCCTTCCGAGAAAACATAATGTCTTATGGTTTCACAATGACATCAATGTTATGCACTCTGAACTCAAATCTAGCGCCGAGTCAATTAGCTAATCAACAGTATTTAGTACATTTAATAATTGATACATTATTGAAGTTGCAAATATTTGCAGTTTTTTTACTTAGTATATGTTAGGATTTGCTGCTTTTCTTTGTTTTTGCAAAGTAAACATTGTTGGACTGCTTGGCTAGCACAACAACCAATTGGATTTGTTTACCTTGGGCTTGTTTCAATGACTTAATCATTAATCAGTTAATCAAATGTAATTTACACATTTGTTCAAAATAACTTTGACCAATAATTGAAGCCCTACTAAAGCTCTTATCGACAAATACGGCAAAGCACTAGCTTGCTGACATCTGCTTATTTAAATCTGTAGATGTGCATATGCAAAGTCTGTGTGTGCTTATTCAGTCAGGGACATGCAGGCCTTCATGCGGAAGTACAGCTGTAGATGGCAGATGGCAGAGCATGCATGGTATATCTCTTGTGTCTCAGGTGGTAATATTCATTCCTGACCTTTTATCTGCCCTGAAGGGTAGAGTTTGGCCAGAGATAAATGTCAAAGAGTGATAATCTGGGTAAGCTAAATTAAAACGATTTACTCCAGTTTACACCTGGTGTCGGCTGTCCTCTTTAGCTGAAGTGTTTTTAAGAGTTTATATTGAGTGTATAGTATTGGTTGCTGTTGTCAAAGTAAAAAATCCTGACGGCCACAAATTGCAGTATGGTCTTCAATTGAGACATATGCTGTGGTATTGTCTCATCTCATGTGCCAATCGTATCATGCATATCTGGGTCATAGCCCAGAATAATGAGTTAGATGGAAACAAATATGTTTATAAATTCAGAGGATCCTGCAATTAGTCATGTTATCTAGCACTGCCCTTTCTGAACAGTTTATTTCACCAATCATATGTCATAAATAAAGTAAACAAATGATACTTGAAAACACAACTGTGCTTGATAGAAGACAGTTATTAATTGCCAACCTATAGCAAATCATATATTTGCAGTGTTTAGAGCAGGGGTCACCAACCTTTTTTAGGGTGAGGGCTACTTTCAAAAAATAAAACAAGTCGGGGGCTACTTTTACTCCTCTTTTTTTTGTTTTTTGCAGTGTATATATTTAGCACATTAACATTATTATATGCTTACCTTTAACCTTTGTGTGCTGTTTGGGTCTGTGGGACCCGTTTTCAGTGTTTACTAAAAGAAAAATGTATGCAATTTTTAATTATTTTAACCTGCTTTATTTGGGGGTGGCCCTCACGTCCTCTAGGGGGGTCCGGGGGCATGCTCCCCCGGGAAGATGTTTTTTTAAATGTTGAAGTTAAATGCATCAATCTGGTGCACTTTGAGCACAACATGAATTTATGGATACAGCTCCCAACACTCATATGAAAGGGAGCTGTATACTTTTCAATAATCCAAACATCTTTAGAATATGATCACAACCAATAACAAATCATTTAAACTGGTTTATTTTTATCTTATGTTAGTTAGCATTCTTTCTTTTTATTTATGAATATTTTACTAATCACTCCTTTTAAACTGTTTTTTGTTTTTGTTACTGTCCTATAGTACACATTGGAATGATTTCTTACTTTATCTATATTAAATAGATAAAGGTGTGCTCTCTCTCTCTCTCTCTCTCTCCGTCTCGCTCCTCCGTGGCGATGACGGCTTGCGTTAAAAAAAACAAAAAAAACATATTTGTAAAGAGGGGGGACACAAACGGGAGTTCGAAAAGAGCAGGGGACATGTCCCCCCTGTCCCCAGTGGAGATTACGCTCATAACGCCTCATGTGCTGTATAGGCTAACATGATAGGCTGTTCAATGGGGCTGATGTGTTGTGTAGATTCTGCCAGAAGGAAAATCACGGTCACACTCACACTCCTTATGAAGCGGTGAGCTGCCGCTCCGCATTGCTTTTCTTCCCGACTGCAACGCTGGTCCAGCAAATCAAGCAAGAACGTGATTGGTCGATATTCATTGTGGGGGTGGGGGCCGGGAGGAGGGGTGTTAGATAGATATAGAGCTGTAGATAGAGTTCGCTATGATTTAGGTTTCGTTTATGCATAGGGTAGATTCTTTTAATTACATTTCCTTTTTTGTTTTGTGTATTTTATACATTTTGAATTTGCTTGGCGAGCTATTTTTAGAACATGCCCCGAGGGCGACTCACGTTGCCCCTGCGGGCGACTAAGTGCCCGCGGGCACCGTGTTGGCTACCCCTGGTTTAGAGTAATCAAAAACGATTCTGTTTGGGAAGTGATTGTCTTCATCTGCTTGTCAAGTTATTGGGGTCGAGAGTCAGCCCCAACCAGCTGTCGAAGCTGAGTTCCATAATACAGTAAGAGAGATTGTTGACTGGATGGAGCAAATATGGGATGACCCTCTTCTATCTGCCTGACAGACACAACTGCAGGGTCAACCATAGCCCAGAAATAGATCTTCCCTATGAACATTCACTAATGCATACAGTACATTTACTATTACATTACTGACATAGATAATGCACGCACGCACGCATACACACACACACTGGCTTTGAACACATGGCTTATCATGCACAGACACATGGGCAGCCAGAGCGTAATGCTTGGCCACATGATGCCTACGCCTGATCTTGGAGGCTGGCCCATTTAGCTGAAAGCAACAATGATTTCATTATATTGCTGACATAATCAGCGTGCAGGGGTTGCTCTGTGTGCGTGTATGTGTATGTGAATTAGGGCTGCACGATATATCGTGTCGTGACGATAATCGTGTTTTGCGCATGCGCGATATTCACATTGCGTGGACGTGCGATTGTTTTAATAAAAAAACAAAACTCGCGATATTAAGTAGGCAAATGAACTCAAACACGTCATGTTACAATTATTTTGCTGCTTGCTACAAAAGGAAAACTTGTGCGGCTCTCATGTCAGGGGTACTTGAGTGACATGCAGGCTCTGCATGCACAGCAAACCACAATCAAATCTCCAAAGCAAACGGACCCCGTGATTAAAGGTAAAACACTGAATAAAGTAGTTTCATGTGTTTCTCCAGGGTAGTTTGGCGCTGCTAACCGAGCTAGCTCAGCTTGTTGCTCTGATAACTTAAGATCCAGACGTCCTTCATCCGGTTAAATATAGTTACAAAAATACCAATTGTATAGCATTAAAGTTCAAGAAAGGATGGTTTGCGGGAAAAGAAACAGTCTTTTCTTCAATTCCTGTATGTTTTCATATCGCAATATATATCGCAGGGGGGGGGAAATCGCAATGTCAGTTTTTTTCCAATATCGTGCAGCCCTAGTGTGAATACAACGAAAATCGAATATAAGTATCCATATGTCCTTATACAGCATGTGTGCTAGAAGGACCATGTCAGTAGTAATAATGTTTTAATGCATGAATGGACTGGCAGACAGGCATCGCACAGGACGTGTTTGTTCGTCATCCTGAAGTCAACCACCATATTTGTTTTGTCAGATGAAGGGTTGTTACAAACACCTCAGGCACGGCCTCCCTGTCACCCTTTGCCCTCTTCAGTGACTAAGTATTAAGTCAGCTGATTATCACTGAACCGGAATGCATTGGAAGAATGAATAGTAGGAATGAATAGTAGGAAATATTTGTCGATGATTGCATAATAACCACAAGCACATGATTTATTATTCACACACACACACACGCACGCGCACGCGCACACGCACGCACACACACTCACAATTTCTTTGTATACAACAGTACCTATTTGCTTTACAATTGTAGGCTCATTTGAAGATGAATAAAAAATGCTAACAAACCTTTTATAAATAAGTAAATTGTTTAATTTAAATGTTCACTGTACACAGCACTTTGAAATGTATTTCATCTGAAATGATTATTGAATGTTTTTGCTACACGCAGCTCTCAGCTAGCTGTACTTGGCCATTTCCCTTGTTACTATTTGACAAGCCAAGGTTAGAATCACTGGTCTGTCACCTGACCTTGACTGCTATTGTATGTAACTTTTTTCTCTATTTTATTTTTTGAGGAAGAGGAAATGTTCCGACCAAACATGTTCTTCCTTCTGCTCCTTCCGCCCATCATCTTTGAATCGGGATACTCTTTACATAAGGTATTATTTATACTGTCAAGATATAAAAGAAGGAATGACACGTTATGCATGTGATGTACTTAACAGTGCAAACCAGTGTATGCATGTAACATAACGTTGGTATTTATTTCCTATGCAAGATCAATTGGCTAACAATTACAAAAGTGAATGATATACAATTATGTAGAGAAAGAATCATAGCACCAATAAGTCTAGGTTTGAAACTCATTGGCAAATGCAAAAAGGTGGCTCATACCATTTGATTATTTATTAGATTATTTATAGATATATTCTGTTACATTATTCAAAAATGAAATTGTGTTTTTTTCTCTGTACATGTACTCTGCCCTACTTTTCATTTTACTGCTTGCCACATGTTATACACCATGTTATGTAAATGTCATGCTACTGAAGCCTATGAATACTTGAGCTTTGTGTCCATGTATGTTCAGGGTAACTTCTTCCAGAACATTGGTTCCATCACTCTCTTTGCTGTGCTCGGCACGGCCATCTCTGCTTTCATCGTCGGAGGAGGGATCTATTTCCTTGGGCAGGTGAGGATTGAGTTTGTATCAGTCAACAACTCGGGGCCTGTTCAGAGAAAGAGTTTGAACCTGTTGGTAAAATAAAATGTGTGTTGTTAATACATTGTGAAGGTGCAAATGGCCCCTAGTATCTTTACATTGTTCAGAATGTTTCTTGCTCTATGTGTTAACATACCAGAGCTCTTTGTTGCCACTCTGAAATGTGTGTCTGTGTTTTTCTCAGGCTGGTGTGATCTATAAGATGTCAATGACTGATAGGTGAGTGTTAGTGTTCCCTTTCAACTTGCATTCCTTTATAACAATAATTATAAAGTCTCTATGGATTCATCTTTTGTACTGCCAGGCTTTTTACATTAGAACATCTTTTTGTCCAAATGACTTCAAGGGAAATTGGATATAAGTATTTCACAACAGCAACACCCACAGACTTGTTCAGTTCCAGGTAGCTGGATAATCCAGCTGCCAGAGATGACACAAGCAGTGTGTCACGCCACTCCCATGTGTTTATGTTGGATTTGTTCAATGATCACATGTGTGTATCTTCATCGATACACAGTCAGTGTGTTACTGTGTGTCTTGGGTTAGTTTTGCCCACTCAGATTTTGTGCATTTTCTGGCATTTAACAGTAATTTAATCCAAATTGTGTGCTTGACATAAAGTCTAATTTAGTTTGTTTATTTTTTGCACATAAAGGAATACAAAATAACAATTAAATAAAAGAAAGGAGTATTTATAATAACATTTTGTTGTTGTTGTTGTTGTTGCCATTTTACAAAGACCGCTATAACAGACAGTGTAACAATTACATGAGACTTCCACCCTTGTACAAAGACCTAATATTCTGAGACAGGATTTAAGTATTCTCCAACATTATTGCAATTGTAAAAATAACAAATTGTAGGTCTGAACTGCCTGAGTAAAAACATGTGCTTCCTTGTTTGTGATGCATATCCTGTCTGCATCCTTCTGACCTCGTGCACTTACAGATTTTGTCCCTTTGTTGCCCATGTGTGTTTGTTTCTTAATTGTTATGTTCATGTCTTATTGCTCCTGTATAACACACTTCCACTCTCTTGCTGTAGCTTTGCCTTCGGCTCACTGATCTCAGCTGTGGACCCCGTGGCGACCATCGCCATCTTTAACGCCCTGGATGTTGACCCGGTCCTCCAAATGCTGGTGTTTGGAGAGAGCATCCTCAATGACGCCGTCTCCATTGTCCTCACGAAGTAAGAGTCTCTTTCTCCTTCCTCAGTGTTTGTTTATTCTACGGGGTAAAACCTCTGCAAATTTGCCCATGCATGATATTTACACGGCTTTTCACTATCAGCAACTCTAACGAGACAAATATACTACTTAAAAAAAAAACCTAAATTGTACCTAAAGTTCCCTATGCAGTCCCTTTCAAAGTATTTGGAGTTGAAAGAAATCCATAAAAAGCAGAAATATGGCGATGGTCTTCAAGATTTTTTAATATTTGTAATCTTTATTTCATCACCACGCCACTACTGTTAAGACTGTATATTAACCTCAAGGTGCAATTATCTGCTTTGATGCAGGAACCACCCCCGCAAACATTGACACACCTGTTCTTCTGTCAGCTGAGGTGCAGTGAGGCATAATCTAACCTTTTAACCCCACCTGCTTAATGCTGATTGGCCCTGACAGGACTTGAGATGAGAAAAGAACCAGTGACCTATTTTATCCCCATAGTTTACAAATGCAGAGAATGTGGGTACCAGTGTGTCAAAATGTGCTGAATGTGAAGTCCAAAAGCTGGGACTCACACAGTTATCCGACTAATCTTCACAGATGAGGATTGTTGTTGGAATGCTTTCACAGTATCGGTGTAATACCTGAAACCTCCAGTAATGAGGGAAAGACATTTTTTATTTAACCTTTATTTAACCAGATAAAAAAGCATTGAGATAAAATCTCATTTACAATGCTGACCTGGGCAAGAAGGCAGCAACGTTACACATAACACAAACATATAAAATACAGAGAACATAACTAAGAAAACAAAAGACGAAAAAGCAGTCACTACATTGTGCACATTAGGACAGTAAGAAAGGTGCACTACTTATTACTGCAAGAGCAGCTGGTGGTAAGGACTTCAGACAACTTCAATTTAAAAAATGCTATTGAGACAAGTGCCCTCAGTTTTAGGTTTGATTGAAGGTCATTCCAAGACCAAGGACCATAATAAAAAAAGACTCCTTTTTCCAGCCTCAGTCCGCACAGCAGGTACCTGGAACCGTATCCAGGCACTGGATCTGAGGTTGTAAGAGTCACAAACTGGAGCAAATCTGGCACATATGTACAGTGGAAGCTTACCTAAAATGGCTTTATACATTAATAAAAACCAAAGCTGCATCCTACGCATAGTAAGTGAGGACCATCCAGTTAGGCTTTACAGTCTGCAATGATGAGTCCTATAGGGTGCATTTGATATATAACGCAGTGCAGCATGGTAGAGTGGGTCAAGTTTGGCCAAAACAGTGGGACAGGCAAATCAATAAATGGTATCACCGTAGTCCAGCTGGGACAGGAATAAGCCAGAGACCAACCTTTTACGGGATGAAGTTGAAAAACAACATTTAAGTCTGAAAAGGAAGCCAAGAGTGCATTTCTATTTATTTGTTAGAAATTCAATATGGTGTTTGAAGTTCAGATTACTGTCCAACCAAAAGCCCAGATATTTGTAGATATCGACAAACTCAACAGAGACGCCATCAAGGGTGTCAGTGGAGAGGCAAGAGGATGCTGACTTGGGAGCAAAAATCATTGCTTTGGTTTTCTTACTATTCAATAGCAGTTTGGAATCAAGAAGTGCATGCTGCAGCGTGATCAAATCAGATTTTAAATTGGAAACGGCCATATCCAGAGAAGGAGCACATGAATATACAATAGTGTCATCAGCATACATATGATAGGTAGAAAATTGCATCTGACAGCAATCCAGAGTCCGAAAGAGCGACAGCTCAGGCAGAGAGCAAACAATCCAGTCACAGCGAGGCACCGGCACAAAACGACGCACAACAGCCCAAAAACTTTTAAAAGCTTTTAAAACGTTTTAAAAGTGCAGCAGACCAATTTAAAAACGGGTCTAAAAAGCAAAATAAAAATTATAAAATGTCAGTATGCACAAGGGGGTCAATGCCAAAAAAAATGAGAATGAGACAAACACTAATAGAGACAGAGGGTGTTTCTCAATGTCGAGTACGCTTGCTTGGTAGCACATGTCTTTCCGAGTCACTTGCTTCAGAAGTGAGGCAAGAATACTTCCTGGCATTTGGAAAACGAAGCAATAGTATGAAGCTGCAGCGTCGGAGACTGCAGTCTCAGGACCGCACTCCTGGGACCGCACTCCTAGGACCCTAGTTTTTCGTGACATTGCCACCTAGCGAGCAGGAGACATGAATATGAACGACAAAGCACGCAAAAAGATGAAGTGCTTTTAACGTTTTATTTGTTTAACATTAATAACAATTCCGGTGTCTTGAAATGAAGTGTGATTAGCTAACGTTAACTAAGATAGTCTTAAGGCAATACAAACATCTGTTAGCTTATGATAGCTTCTAACCGTATTAAAGGAACTAAACACAATTAAATGTTAGCTATAGCCTTCGGAAAAATAAACTGTTAGCTAAACATAGCATATTTGTTTAATGAAACTAGCGTGATTTTGGCAAGCCCAACTAGGTGTCCTACATTAATTGTTGATTTAATCACTAATTACAGTAAGAGTGTGAGTAATGTCAATCGTGTTTGTTTAAAGTTAACAACTATTCTGGTGTATTGAATTGGACAGCAATACAAGCAACACGTGCTAAATGTGAGTCTTACAGGGAAACAGTCATCTGTTAGCCCATGATGACTCGCTGCAAAACCAACTGTTAGCCTTTTTGTTTATTTGTTTAATGAAACCTCTCTGGGGAACCAGCACCTTACCGTGGTAGAGAGGTTTGTGTGCCCTGATGAACCTGGGGGCTGTGTTGTCTGGAACCTTGTGTTCCTGGTAGGGTCTCCCATGGCAAATTGGTCTCAGGCAAGGGGCCAGACTAAGATTGGTTCAAAAGACCTCATGAAAGACGACACAAGAAGTGAGGATACCCGGCCCGGAGGAAGCCCGGGGTCCCCTTCTGGAGCCAGGCCCAGAAGGAGGACTCGTCGGCGAGCGTCTGGTGGCCGGGCTTGCCACGGAGCCCGGCCGGGCCCAGCCCGAAAAGGCAACGTGGGCAACACCTCCGCTTCTCCGTCCCGCGGGCCCACCACCTACGGGAAACATCGATGGGGTCGGGTGCGCTGCCAGAAGGGTGGCAGTGAAAGCGGAGGGTCTCGACGGACCAGACCCGGGCGACAGAAGCTGGCTTTGGGGACGTGGAACGTCACCTCTCTGGGGGGGAAGGAGCCGGAGCTTGTGCGGGAGGTGGAGCGTTACCAGTTGGATCTGGTTGGGCTCACCTCTACGCACAGCGTCGGCTCTGGAACCTTACTTCTGGATAGGGGTTGGACTCTATTCTTCTCCGGAGTTGCTCAAGGTGTGAGGCGCCGGGCGGGTGTGGGGGATACTGGTCCCCGGTTAGGTGCTTCGTTGTTGGAGTTTACCCCAGTGGACGAGAGGGTCGCCTCCCTACGCCTGTGGGTTATGGGGGGGAAAACTCTGACTGTTGTGTGTGCTTATGCACCCAACAGAAGTTCAGAGTATACGGCCTTCTTGGAGACCCTGGAAAGAGTCCTGTATGGGGCTCCTGAAGGGGACTCTTTAATCTTGCTGGGACACTTCAACGCACATGTGGGCAATGATGGAGACACTTGGAGGGGCGTGATTGGGAGGAACGGCCCCCCTGATCTGAACCGGAGTGGTGCTTTGTTACTGGACTTCTGTGCTAGTCATGGATTGGCCATAACAAACACCATGTTCGAACATAAGGATGCTCATAAGTGTACGTGGTACCAGAGCACCCTAGGCAGAAGGTCCATGATCGATTTCGTTATCGTATCATCGGACCTGAGGCCGTATGTTTTGGACACTCGGGTAAAGAGAGGGGCGGAGTTGTCAACTGATCACCATCTGGTGGTGAGTTGGGTCGAGTGGCGGGGAAGCCTCTGGATAGACCTGGTAAGCCCAAACGTGTAGTTCGGGTGAACTGGGAACGTCTGGAGGAGGCCCAAGTTCAGGAGGCCTTCAACTCACACCTCCGGCGGAGCTTTTCGGGCATTCCTGTGGAGGTTGGAGACATTGAACCAGAGTGGTCGGTGTTCAAAGCCTCTATTGCCGAAGCCGCGGCGGGGAGCTGTGGTCTCAAGGTCCTAGGTGCCTCAAGGGGCGGTAACCCTCGAACCTCCTGGTGGACACCGGTGGTCAGGGAAGCCGTCCGACTGAAGAAGGAGGCCTTCAGGGATTTGTTATCCCGGGGGACTCCCGAGGCAGTTGCAAGGTACCGACAGGCCCGAAGGGCAGCAGCCTCATCCGTGGCCGAGGCAAAGCAGCGGGTGTGGGAGAAGTTTGGAGAAGACATGGAGAAGGACTTTCGGGCGGCACCAAAGTTGTTCTGGAAAACTGTCCGACACCTCAGGAGGGGGAAGCAGGGAACCATCCAAGCTGTGTACAGTAAGGATGGGACGTTGTTGACCTCAACTGATGGAGTGTTAGGGCGTTGGAAGGAACACTTTGAGGAACTCCTGAACCCGACAACTCTGCCCTCTATGTTAGAGGCAGAGCTGGAGTATGACGGGGGATCAACACCAATCTCCCGGGGGGAGGTCACTGAGGTCGTCAAACAACTCCACAGTGGCAAAGCCCCGGGGTGGATGAGATCCGCCCGGAAATGCTGAAGGCTCTGGGTGTTGAGGGACTGTCATGGTTGACACGTCTCATCAACGTTGCGTGGAAGTCGGAAACAGTACCGAAGGAGTGGCAGACCGGGGTGGTGGTTCCCCTTTTTAAAAGGGGGATCAGAGGGTGTGTGCCAATTACAGAGGCATCACACTACTCAGCCTCCCCGGGAAAGTTTACTCTAAGGTACTCGAAAGGAGGGTCAGGCCGATTGTCGAACCTCAGATTGAGGAGGAACAATGCGGATTCCGTCCTGGTCGTGGAACGACGGATCAGCTTTTTACTCTCGCAAGGATCCTGGAGGGGGCCTGGGAGTACGCTTATCCGGTCTACATGTGTTTTGTAGACTTGGAGAAGGCGTATGACCGAGTTCCCAGGGAGTTACTG